ATTAGTTGTATTTGTTACAGGGGAGCAGCAGCAAGTGAAACTGTTCTGCTAAGAACTGCATATGAAAGAGCTAGGCATTTTTAAGGTTCATAGAATTATTAACAATGTGTTTTATGTTTTCTTTTGTTTTTGAAAGAAAGTTAATTCCTGATAAACTAGAAATTAAGCAGGATGTCCCAGGCAGAAGGTCTTTATTGTGGAAGATACCCTTTACAAGCTGGAAAAAAAAATAAATCATTATAACATGGTTCAGATACATTTGAGAGGTGGCATTTTCATCAAAGAATGTGCTTTAATGATCACTTTCACTTCTCCATTCTTACTGTTCTGCTGTTTCAAAATTACCATAGGGGTGGAAGATTGGAAACAGAAATCTAAGATATCTGTGAAAGAACAAATAAGAGTTCTGTACTTGTATGGTCAATTTAATAAACCATGTTTGTTGCTATTTTTTGATTTTTTTTGGCTTTTTTGTTTGTTTGTTTTTTAAAGGCATGATAATCAACCAGTCTAATATTTTAGGTACAAAAACCAAACAAACAAAACATGTAAGTTGCAGGGTTAATACACTGTGATATGCTTTTGGGGAATCTGCTTAATGCAGGCGTGATAATACTAAAGTATAAATATAAAGTTGCATTATTATATTACATTGGCTTGTAGATGTGTTTCCTTTAATCCTATTGTGCCAGAACTTTCTTGCAATCAGAAGGTACCTTGTTTTTCCATTTATTTTCAAAAACTATGCTATTGACAAGATGAAAGTGTTTCAGTTAAGACTGGCTGTGGCAGCATGAACAGCCCCACTCCAGATTTGCTGCTGATCGGAGGTGGCAGTAGTTGTGGCTGTGGAGCATTTCTGAAGGACTGTGAAAGCATGTTCAGACCAATTACTTTGTTGTTCCAGCACCCTCATAGCACAGAGAGTCATTACATTCAAAAGTAGAAACAAGTGCCCTGAATCTGTCTGTGTAATTCACTGGACAGCCAAGTGGGCTATGTCCTTGTGAAGCCTGATCAAAATTCAACACCCTTAATTAATTACCAAAGGGAGGATTTTTACAGACATAAAATTGGCAGACAGATAGCTAACTAATTCCCACTGTAAACCATGCCTGTGAACCTAAGCTGATGGTGGCAAGCAAAGCTCTCACCCCTTTAATCAGAGTACTGCACTTTTTCATTGCAAGAAGTGAAAATGGTGGGACTATTGTGTAGTTGTCAATCACAGTATGATATAAAACTATAGCAAATGTTGTCTGTGAGAAACAGCTGCTCTGAGAGAAAGGGTAAAGTACACTCCTTTATTTCTGAAGGATTTGCCTTTGACATCAGAAGACTTTCCCCAACAAAGGGAGAAGAACTTTTTCAACAGTCCCCTTCTTATCCACTGCTCAGTCAGTGGCTTTAGGCAGAGCAATGATGAAGCAGCCCTAAAACTTCCATTCTCTACATTCAGCATCATGTAGAGTCTGGCTTTAAATACTTTAAATTGAAGGAAGTCAGAAACATTTGTTCCTAATAACTTATATTCATACAAAGCTATTGGATTCAAGCTTGAACAAACTGGGTACGCCAGTTTCTCTGGTATTAGAGTTTTTTGGTGATTTGGATTAAGTTGTTATGAGAAACGGCCCCTTCTCGTGGAATATGCTGACCCTTTGTCTCTAGCATTCTGTGATGTTTATAATAACATTTTCCTATTTAGAATATATTAAAAGTATTTCTCTTTTCTATTGCATAAAAGCCACATAGAAACAATGGAAATAACTATACCAGGTACAGAGAGCATAACCAATTATTTGTTGACAGATATACAAAATAAAGTGGAAAGAGTGTTGTTTGCAAAACTCTGATCTCAAGATATTATTAATTATAGGTATCAGAGACAGCAAACATTGTTACTGTTATTTTATAGAAATTAATGTTTTTTGAAGTTGTCACTGTACTGCTTGAAAATAGTGTAACTGACAGTAACCTATATGACTACCAAAAAGTCAAGTGTGCTAAGAGTTAAGAGAATAATAGAAATCCTAAATACTCTTGTATGATAATTAGGAATATCAATTTCTCTAGTTGCTTTCTCCACGATTCTGGATTAAACTGTTTCCCTTTTTGATATTGTGGTAGTATATACAATGAGATTAATTCTGTCTTTCATCCTCAGATTATATTATTTTTTACAGTCATTCCAGGTTTTTACTTGAAGAACCACAGTATGAAAACTGGAGCCTGTATTATTCCACATGCACCCAAAAAATCACCTCACTCTTACGATTTTCTGTCTGCTGCACACAGGAGGAGTGCTGTTCCTCAATTTCAGCAATCACATTTTGTTAGTTTGGCAACTACAAAAGAAAATTTGTAAGAGTGGGCATACACTAACACAGTAAAATCTTGGGGAAAAAATGGGCAGCTTTTTTAAACCTACCTTTTATGGCTTAATTTAGTCTGGTCTCTGCTAGTTGAGTTGTTTTACCAGTAATTAAGAGTTCTGTTAATATTAATGCGGCTTAAGCCATGACATAAAAATCTTTATGACTGGCAGTATGGTAAATCCTACCTCCTATCCTTTTTATTTTCTATTGATTCCACATCAAAGAGAGAGAGGAAAAGGTTTTTCAGGTTTGGTTACATGATTGCAGAGATAAGATTTCTAAGTTTTTAAAATCTTATTTTGGTAAGATGCCCTCAGATACTGCTATACATCTACTCTTTTATCTGAGAAATATATTTTTTTTGCTATCAAGGTAGTGCTTGCAATTTAGCAGACAGGAAACTTGAGGCATTCTGGTAAGTTGAATTACCAAGCTTATTCTATCCTCTAAATTCAGAGTAAAAACTTTGGATGTTTCTCACTTTATGTGTTTACATGTAACAGTCATGTAACAGTCAGAGAAGCTAATAGATCTTTTTGAGTGGAGCACATAGTTGTGCATGCATTTTTTCTCCAATTTGCCATTCAGTACTTCCAGTAATGATCTTTGATTAGCAAGATAGGCAGTTGAGTAGTGAAAGCATTTGTCTTTTTTTTTTTTTTTTTTTTTGTAGAGAGTCTTGCAAATGACATGGTTACCTTTTGTAGTTTCCTTTGCCATACATGAAAATAAATATACTTAATCAGTAAGTCAGCACAGGGAAAAATTGCTCCTATTTATTCATAGTTTAAATTCTAGCATCCGTTTTATGCTCTGCAATGAACCTGCTTCTTTTCTGGGTTTACTCCCAGGTTTCAAAGACCAATTCACAGAGCATCATCCTCTGTGAAAGCACATGAAAAGGGCTGTAATTTGAGGAAATAAACTCAAATCAAAACAAAATGAACTGTATTAAAATTATAGGAACTTGCTGAGAAGTTTGTATGTTTGGAGAAAGCATTGTGGTTGTAAAATGAATTGACCGTGGTTGTGCAAAATAAGCCAAATGTGATGGAGAGCTTGTTGATGGGAATCAAGTTTTCAGGGCTGATATAAAGAGAATTTTGAATTACATTTTTTTTTGCTACCTCTAAGAAAATATTTATCTGCTCTCTAAGTGCCCATACAGCTTTGGGGATTGAAGAAAATAGATTTTATAACACATTAAAGTTCTCTTGAATGATTCAGGTTGGTGCAACTTGCTGATTATACCGTATGGACGTTAGTGTAGTGTCTGGCCTAAATAAAAAAAACTCAAGTTCTTAAAACATACGAATAGCTGTGAGGGATGGAACAGTTAGACAAAATGGGTCTTTTTCAACGTAATCTACTTTATCGTCTATCTCCTTTATCGTCGTGGAATTTTTGACAGTATTCTGTTAACTCTTGACATATTTCTTATGGGTTGATCAGGTCTTAAAATACTAATTGCAATCCTTAAGCAGTTCACTGTATTTAAAACAAAAATCAATATAAGGAAGTCATCTGAACTCAGAATTAGTAATGTGGAGTTAATGGTTAAACCTACAGTAATAAAAGCAAAATTCATATAGTTAAGGTATACCAAATAGTGATGAATAAAAATGTTATGGAAATAAGCTTTTACTGTTGCAATCTTTAGTGCGATTTTAGAAAGAATAATTCTGTTCAGCTGAAACCGCATATTTTGCAATATATCACCAGTTGTGTTCCTTACAAGATGTCTTGATTACTCAATATGAATTAGAAAACAACTATTAAGTACATATTCTTTTTATGCATGGGTACTTCCCCTCTATTTTGACTACCTGGAGATGCTTTTCTTTGTTTTTTGAATGGAAGTTCTATGCTGATAATTTTTCTTATCAAACCTCACGGGAACCTGGGAAATGCTTTGCTTTCAATAAATCAGAATTTTCAATATGATGGTATTAAATGTGTGATTAGTTGATCTCACCTCATGATGTGACTGAGACGTAGATATGTCATAAATTCTGAGACCAGCTGTGCATATCTAATTTGCTACAGGACAGTCATAGTTAAGAGAGTTTTGTGACATAATGAAAGCAAACACAGGAAAGGCTCAGGCAGAAAGGCATGAGTCATGAAAAACTGTTTTGCCTTGGATTGTGAAATTTTATGAGATTTTACTCTCTTTAAATTCCTTTGGTTTTCATAGAAACATCTTTATGTTGAACCATGGAAAAAGAGAGAAAGGTCATGCCCCTTTGCCCTTGTAATTGTATCATAATACTGTGCATTCTGGTCAGGATGAGATTTGCATAATAACGTGCCCATATTTAAATACTAAACTGATGTTTTAAATTTAGAAATCAGGTAGAAGTATACTTAAGCTTTACTATCACCTCTATTGTATCCATTTCCATATTTTTTTGATAATTCATTTTGATAACATTGCAGCTGAAGAAAGTTAAGAGCATATTGTTTCTAGGCAATTTCACTAATGCAGCAAAATATGATGCATCGAATGGTACAGAACAATATGGAAACTTTTCAGAGTTAACTTATTTATTTATTGCAGTGAAATACATTTCTAGAAAGGATGTTTCTAATTTTTTACTTTTTTAATGTTGTTTTTTTCAGGCATTGCTATTTCTGATGAACTTGATAAGGTAAGATTTAGTGTATGCCTGATGAACAGGCAGCTGGTTGTGATAATTTTAGGCAATGAGAACTACTTATGCCTGTCCAGGTACACACTCTTCAGTTCTTTTGGGTTCAAAGGAAGCTTGGGTATGGAAAGCTATATGGGTAAGTACTGCATATGTTGATGCATTAAGAGCTTGATCCAGGATGGGCTGTTAATTATGGAAAAAAAAACCTCACTGAGATTTAAGGGACTCTTAATGAGGCCACGAAAATGCTTTTGATCTTAATATACCATCTTTGCTTAATGTCTGTTGTGTTACTTTAATGGTGTTCTTTTGGAAATATTAAGTTTTGAGTATCTTTAATTCACAAAGTCATATGATTGGGTGACTTTCTCACTGTCAGATATGATTCGAGAAAATATTTAGGAATATTTTCTGATCTGATCACGAATTCACAGGCCATAAAGATCAGTCTTCAATTTTTTGCTGAATTCTCCATACAATAATCTCTTCTGTTTTGACTATTTTGATATGCTACACAGTGAATTTTAATTTTAACTGTAATGAACTCTATGCTAAAAGAGTAATCCATCTGATTTATCAATGTTCCAAAGGAAACAGAACACATTTTCCTTTCCTATTCTCACCACTGGACAGCAGGACATGTACAGTGCTGAGAATAATAGGTTGTGTTCTTGGTGTCAGAAACTATTACTGTCAGGGAGATAAGATCAAAAAGCATATAAGGCACAGGAATATTGCCTGATATAAGATACAATTTTTAAAATGTCTTCTCCTGGTAAGATGAGAGTACAATCCTTCTTGACACAAATGCATATGAAATAGCTCCCCTGGGTTCTGCAGGAAGGGCCAGTGAGACAACGTTGATCAGTTACCATGCAATCATGTGCATGTGAAGCTGCCATTTCAAAACCATGGCCTTTATTTATCATTTTGGCCTTGATCTTGCTCTATTCCATTGCTCGTATTAAAAATATAAAAGGAAACTTAAGTCATCCTTCCCACCATTACCTTAATTGTGCTCAGAAGTGATGAGAAAAACATCTAGCAAAGCATTTCCTTTACAACCCTTTTATTTAAAAATATTAACAAAGAAGTCATATTAATTTAGCTTTGTTGAAATAACTATGAAAAGCTGCTTTGAGAGCGTGGGGGATGGGGGAGGACTAGAGCCTGTTATCACATACTTCTCCACTTATAAAGAGAAATTTCTGTCGGATTTGTTTTTTTTTTCCAAGACGATAGATTATTTCTCAAAAAAGTGTGAAGGTTGAGGTGGGGAACATCATCGGTAAATTTCTTCAGGATGTACTCTGAGTGAAGAGTTAATTTTCCTTTCATCACCATATAATTTATTTTTTTGAATTTAAAATTGGAAATATTTTTGTATAAAACTTGATATGTTACATGCAGCGAATAGCGCACGCTGTCTGACCTTTACAACAACTTTACAATATTACATCTGCTGTAAGATCTGTTTTTGATGAGGACAGGTAATGTGAATGCTCTTGAAATCAAAAATTACTTGGAAAATAAAAAAATTTAAATACAAAACTCTTAACATACTTCCTTTGTGCAGCCCTGCTCAACTGGCTTACAGGATAGATGTACTGAAAATACATACTTTCTGTCTCCACGGGCTTAAGTGAGCTTCAGTACTCTTGTTTTGCCCCTTAAGGATTTTGAATGGACGTAAAAGCTACACCTGTATGAAGAAGTTAAGCATGGCAAGGATCATTCTGTGAAAGGAAGCAGCCCAGGGTTCATGTTGTCAAGCCCTCTGTCCTCCAACAGGGCAGCTACAAGCAGCCTTTCCCCTAGGAATGATCCCTTGCACATATTAATTCCCCAAAGTTTCTTGTGACCTGTTTGTAAGAGTGTTATTTGTCTTGGGCCAGAATCAACCAAGGACTGCCTGATAATGGTTTCACAGTATATACAATTTAGTTTGATCTCAGCTGAGCATGTTCCTATGCAATGTTTATATTTTGGGTATAAATGTAGCCAAGTTCATTGTAATTCCCTTCCCAGAAATACATGCTGATACTACAGCTTCCTTATCTGGGCTGCAGCAGCAAGGAATCATTTTTAAAACCACATTCACATCTGGATATTGGATATAACCCTTCAGGTGCATGTGGTAGGTCCCAAACTTGGTATTGGATTCTTTTATACTGTTGGCATTAGTTAGACATCAAGAGAAGCATAAAATTAAGCATCGTAATAAATTACTCTATATGCTTTTCCTTGCTTTATTTTTCTGACAGTTGAGAGCATCCTTGCCAATTGGGAAAGAGCCCATAATCCTGCTCTTTAATCTGTGGTTTAAATTATGAGCCAAGAGAAAACAGAGAAAGCTAGTGTATGTTTATCTTTGTTAACATTCAAGGATATGTTTTTTTAAAAAATAATTTCATTCTGGCTGCAATAACCTTTAGCCACTTTTGTCAGGTGAGTACTTGATCAATATCTCTGGATGATGTAACTCCACCTCCAAGTAATCCAGTTAATTTGTTTGTTGCTTAGTTACCCAAGCATTTGATTTTGGAAAACTAGTTTGCTCTGAATTGCAATCACTGCTCTGGAAGGGCATTTCATTTAAATAGACTCACATCAAATACCTGCTATTATTACCTTTGTGCCAGTACTCAGGAGTTTAGACCAAGATAAAGGTAGAGAAAACATGGGCAGACTTAGTCTTTTAGTTGCATCGGAAGCTTTCAGTTTGATAGAGTCTAATAAAATTTCAGAATTTTATTGGCATAATTGCACAAAAAATCCCTAAAACTACTGCATTTAAACCAGATTTATTGTATAGATTTCCTCCTCCTTCATTTCATTTATTTCAGATTTGCAGTTTGGTTTCATTTCTCTTGATGATTCAGCCCACTTAATCTAGGCTGGGGAAGCTGTATAAAATCAGCAACTGACACTGCAAGTACAGTGTGTAAGGAAAGAAAATGAGAAGGGATGTCTTGTGACTCACAGATTTTAGGGCTAAAGTACAGAGTTAATATGTTACAAATTTCTGAATTAACTCACCTTTTTTACTGCTGAACAGAAACAACGCATGAAGGGTGCATTTTTTAAAGATCCTCATAAATGCCAAGAATTTTCTGTAAACAGATAAAGAAATTGAGCTAGAATTTTACCCTTTCTGTGAAATTTTGATTTGATTAATACATTCTGGAAAAACGCATTGAGTTCACTATGAGTTTGTGTTTTCCCCAAGTCTGTGAGGACTCTAGAAGACCCTACTTCTCTGTAAATCACATAGTAAATTGTAGTATGTGTTGCAGTTGTAACATGTCTGCATTGTAAGGTACATTGAGGTAAAATGCAGCCAGGATGCTACAGTGCGTATTTCATGCAGTATGTTTCAAATTTGTATAATTGTTCCCATTTCAGCAATATTTCTGAGTCAGACCGTGGAAAATAAGGACTCACACCTTTTCGTCTTTCCAGTCAGAGACTGACTAAAATAATGACATTATAAAACTATTTAAAGGGGTATAAGGGAAGGTTTATTCATCTTCTGGCTTTTAATTCTCTAAAAGCTTTACAAATATTTTCCAAGAGTTATTCATTTATTTTTCTTTTTCTGTGCTGTGTCTAGGGTATGCTTTCTTCTGAGTAGTATTACTACAAATAGTACAGCTTATATTTAACAACTACTCTACGTCATCAAAAAAAAAAAGAAGTCTGCTCACACCAAAGTTTCCCTCACTGTGGAGGTTTTCTTGAAATCCATATAGGCGATTAGAAATATAGAGCTTTTAAAGTTATGCTTAAGCAAACAGGTACACAGATATTGATATGCTCCCTCATAGGGGCTGCACATCACAACCACATCTCAAGTCAATGTAGATGAGACTTAACTTCCCTCCAGTCTTCCTGTCTCCTCATTTCCACATCAAGTAAGCTTGAGGCTGTCAAGTTGGTAGCTACTGATAGGGATGCTAAGTGGATGACACTGGACAGAACCATAAGACAATGGTGCACACCAATGTCACTACCAATCTCTTTTTTTATGGGGGAATAAAAATTGGAAATGGTGCACACCAGTGTCACTACCAATCTCTTTTTTTTTATGGGGGAATAAAAATTGGAAATCAGTTAAGATTCTAAGGTTTGTATTAAACAAACAAACAAACAAAAAAGAATAAAAACTTGACTGGGAACAGAATGCTTCATCTAAATTGATTAAAGCTTTTGAAATAAGGTGCCAAACAAACGCCCCAGTGTTCTCAACAGAGCTGTCTCTGATTCCCCATTTTCTGTTTTCACTGTGGTTGCTTATGTAGTTGAAAGGAGGAAAATAAATTAGGTCACTGAAACTGTGGTGCACTAATTAACAAGATTCAAAAATGGAAGCAAGGTAATAAAGTGAGGCAAAGCATGACTATGTAATGTAAATTACATTTCTGTTAAGCAGAGTATGAAAGTACTACTTTAATCCATGAAATGTCTAGAGAAGAAATCAGTATAACAAGGACAGACACCGCATTCACGGTTTACTTATTCACATTCTGGTGGTGCAGTGTACAGTGTCTGGAAAAAGTTGCAGTACTGAAAAAAGGCAAATTTTTAGCCATTCTTCCCTTTTTCGCTTAGGTAACTGACAGCTTTTAACAAGATTGACACTGCCAGTTGTTGCAAAGTTAAACTAGCACAGACCTTTTTTTTTTTTTTTTTAATTATGTGTTCATTATTAGAAATTATCCAAGGGAGAAACAGAAGAGAGAAAATGGCTAGGGTAACAGAAAGAAACTTCAGAAGGGGCCAAATACTTATTACTTACAGAAACTATTGTAGACACCAATAATGAAGGCATTATGTGCAGTGAATTTTTCCTATCTCATAGGCATATGATGGTAGTCACACCTATTACAGGTTATACCTGTCAAGTGACCTGAGGCCACCATCTACATTACCCGGCTATGCCACAGCACCAGACAGATACATAAAATATATCTTAATAAGAACATAAGATAAAAAAAAAAAAAAGACATCAGTGTTTAGATATCCGAAAACCACTGAAGTCATGGTGTTTTTCTCAGATTTCTGTATCAGCTGTGTTTAATTTTCAGTGGTCATACCTTGCAGAAAATAGGCATAGTGTGAAAAGTAAATTCAGTTGATGGAAAACTCTGGACAGATTAGTATAGAGAGTGCAGTGTGCACTCCACACACACAATGCAAATTGCAGAAAACAAAATAACAAGAGTGAGTGAGTCAAATCCAGGGGCTATTTTGTCAGATAGAAGCTTTTGGAATTTGGCTAAGCAAAAGTACAACATCTAGCCAGAGTGGGATAGGTATATTTGTATAAAAGCAGTTTGCACATTTTTTTGTTTTTTGTTTACTTTGTTTAATTTCAGTAAAGACCTCTACTTCAAATGGGCTTTTACCATATCTGTATCAATTAGTAGGAGACTTTGGTTTGTTTTCAGGAAGATAGGAAAATATGGTTGCTAAGCTAACTAATCACTGTCCTGTAGTTTTTCTAGATGCTTCTTGTTTGGGAAGTGTTGTTTTATGGTAGGAATATTTACTGAGATACTGATCTAAGTAACACACCAAAGGATTTGTTTTCCTATTTCTTTCTGTATTTAGAAGATAGGAATAGACTATATCTCTCCTAATTAGGAACACTGTATTTGAAATGTCTTTGCTATACTAGAAGAGTTTATTAAAGCAAAATTAATATTTCTGCTCCATTGTTTCATTATGTCTATTTTTTTGTATCTATGCTCAATGCTTTTTTTCCTTCAGTTCGATTGCACTGTTGTACTTGACCCTTTCTCAACAACCTTTCTCATAACACTGAAAAAAGAAATACTCACCATTTCACAACAGTTTTCACATACAATTTTTAGAGACAATTTGTTTTCATTATTCTATATCCCTAATATAAATTCAAAGCAAATCACCACTATTGTTTTGAATATTTCAGTTGCATTTTGCTTAGTTCTAGTAATCCTCTTCAGCTATCTTCTTCCAGTAAGTGGTTAAAAATATGAGTACTAGTTTCAGAAATGCATTTTATTAAAATGTTAATACCATTTTCAGAATTGAAGGATACATTATGTAAATCCCAGCAGGGTTATTTTTAAAATGCCAAATGCAGATGTATTTATCAGTTTTGCATTTATACATCATGCAAATAAGAGAGATGCTATTAATCTACAACAGTCTTTTGGTTGGGGTGTTCATTATGCAAGTGACCTCATCTGTTGCTTAGCATAACTGACACCATATGGGTTCTAAGAATTGTGCATTTATTAAAAATATGTAATTTTTCAATATGAATTGATAAAGACCAGATTCCTCCAGTTGATATTGAAAAGCAAGGAGAGGTTTGAGGCACCGGGGTGGGCAAATTTTTCTTGGAATTTTTTTAACAGAAATCTTTAACATACTTTTAATATACTGCTTTAACACATGTAACATATTGCCTCTTTTTTTTTTTTTAATGAATTGCATTATTTTCTGTCTTTTCCTCATTACATGTCCAGTTGAAAACAAGTACAGTGCTTTTTTATTTTATTTTGTATTTTCTCTTCAGGACACAACAGGTTTTAATACCCCCCTTCTCAGACCTCGTGTGATTGGAGAATGGATTGGTCGTGAAGAGAATGATGCAGATCCACTAGCCGCTGAGATGCTGCAGCCACCAATACCAAGAAGTAAAAATGAGCAGTGGGACAGTGAGGATAGCAGCAGTCCTGGTGGAAGGTGGGATTTTTGTTCTGCCTAGAAATTTTATATTTTTTTTTCCTTTCTGAAGGAGAGCTTTGATTGTTTATGAGAGCAGAATGCAGGACTTTTAAAGTCCAATCTGTAGTGTGGCAGCATGCACAATAAATGGGAGACACTGTTATGTGACTAGTTTCTTACGGTGCTTTTGCATATGATTTTGCATATGATTTTGCATATGATTAACTTTATGCAAATTACCAATCCTATGGTTTTATTCCCAAGCATAAAGCTAAGTGCATGTTGACAAGGTTGGGATACATTGTGTAATGTTGTGATGTATAGCTTCATTCAGGTCCTTCAAACCCTTTTATCTTTCAATGATAGGTAATAGATGTAAGTTAATCTTCTTGGCACTTTAGAGATAAATCTGATTTTTTCTTTTTAAAGGAAAGCTACACAAGGGAAACAATAGCTATGTTGTTTCTAGCAGGACTTCCAAAATTCATCTTCAGTTCTTAAACTTCTTTCTTGAAGAGAAAATTGTATTCTCTGCAGTAAATACCTTCCAACGATTCAGTGTGCTTGACTAAGGTTGGGGGAGTGTGTTTTTTTGTTAATGTGCTTTAGCTACATAGAAGAGTTCATCATTTTTCCAAGTTGTCCATTCGACATGATTTAAAGATATCTCTTTCTCACAGAAAGTTAAGCATTTGCAGCCATGCTTCTGTTAATTACCTAAACACCTGCTGTTCTCCCTCAACCCTGTAGCTTTTCTCTTTGGTTATAACTAGTACACTGACTGCAGCAGACACATTTTGCTCCCTCTTTTAAGGATGCAGAAACTCTGATTTCCCTTTGAAAAGGTGTATATGCCTTCGCTATGTCCTCCATGTGTTCTCTACATTGGAATTCTCTTCCCTGTCACATAAGAAACGAGTCTGTCATTCGCTGGACTCTTAGAAGCTGTATTTATTAACTATCCATGCATGTTGGGAGTGATTGTTAACCATGAACGCATCATAGTGTTTGTTGTTTTTTTTTTGTGGAGGGTGGGGTGGAGAGGAAGGGGAGAACAAGGGGGTCAATGGGAAGCTGCAAATACTACAATTTCGAAGTAGCAGCAGCATGTACTAATGATCCCTTAGCCAGACTTTGGACTGGAACTAACAGAACTCAAAGACTGAGTCCCTCTACTGCAATTCCTGGGAAAGTAATGGAGCCAGCAGCTGTCATTGCAGCTTCATTGTGAGGGTCTGGGTTTCTATTTATCCTTATTCAGCATTCCAGTAAGGACACCAAGTAAAGATTTGTTGCAAGTTGCAGAGGGTATTGAGAATATTGGATCCCTTCTCTTAATAGGAAGAAGCAGAAATAAGCTGATCTCTAGATGGGAGCAAAGAGATTTAGTTCTGAGTGACAAAGATCATTTGGTACAGAGTATTTTTCTCTGTAGAAGGTGGTACAAGCTGTGAGAACCATTATAGATAATGGTATAATGAAGAAAAATACTAATGGCTTTGAAAGTAGTATTTGAGAAGTCTTGTTGAGTATCATGAAAAAAATCACATTGCCAGAAGTATGGAATAAGGAGAGTATGGGGTACTTGATGTAAGAAAAGAATCATGGGACACTGATATCTTTTCAGGTGTTTTAGATGCAGAAGAGATGTTGAAAAATATGTATCATTAAATGGGAATACTGATTTTCAGTGGAAATTAATGACTACTAAATTATGTGCTGCATATGGATTTAAATTTGGATGACTGATTTTATGCCTGGGATAATTCTTTGCTTCATTAGCATTTCATCAGGTTTTGTAAAGCATTTAAATAAAGCATGTTTGCAGTCTTGCAAACTAATATAAAATTGCAGTACTTCAAGATAGTGATAATAATGAAATTGATGCTACCTATATGTGGAAGTTCAAAAGACCCATATTGATCAAGGTTAATCTGAATGTTCACTAATAATAGGAAATTTCTTCAAGGTCTGATTCAGTTATTGAGAATTAAAGTACTACGAGCAGACTTTGGAATTGGCTATACACCAAATGCATGAGACAATAGGAAATAATAATTTAGTTTTAATGTAACATTTATCTAGTACATCCAAAAGTAGATGGAATAGCATGTTTTTTATTAGACTAAATGAAACTCAAAGTTGCTATCACTTGTTGATATAGGCTAAAATAATCCAGTTACATTTTTATCTGACAACTGAAGGAGGGAGTGATTTAAAATTCATATTCAATGTTTACAATTATGTTGTGTAAAATCTGATTTATTAACACTTTCAATTAGAAGTGATATTTTGTTCATCAGTAACTATCAGGATTTATGTGATAGACCAGCAAACTCTAAAAATTAATTTGAATCTTACAGCATAAGAACAAGAATGTAATTGTCCTATTATTTCAAAGTAGTAATGTTTCCTTACACCTATCACTAAACATAATGAAATATTACATAAATAACATTTAACAATGACTATATACGTAGTCACATACACCCACCCCCATATATATATATACACATGTATATGTATATATATATAAAATCATAGGATATATATATAGTCAGAAGATTAGTAATTTTCATATTCATTTTTAGAGTAATTGCCATCAGTGTCCTATATGACTGCCTGTTTCTCTGTATTGTTCTCACAGAGCTTAGCATATAAGTTTTTTTCTGTTGGGTGGAAGGGGAAGTTGTGCATTCTATAGTATCTATAGCATTCTATAGGGGACTGAATATGCTGCAGAGAATGGCATATTCCTGTCGACCAGTGCTTTGTTGATAACCTGTCCATTTTCCATATCGTTTGCAGCATAAGGCAGATCATAGAGCATAGTACCTGAAGTCTGGGAATGTACGAGCTGTCTGCTTTTTCTGTATTTGCAGCCACGATCCTCACTTGTCAGTCCATTCATACTGGAAACCACTATTCCCTCTGTGAGAATTCCTGTGATCGTGAGCAACAGAGGTTTCATACAGTTTTTATCTGAAAGCCAGACCCAGTTACTTAAAAAGGAAGGGGATTAATTTGGAGCAACTGAAAGGAAAGATTTCACTATTACTTTGACTGGGAAAGGTAGTGTAGCCACACTACCGCAGCTGTTTTGGTGATGTCTTGTCAAACTGATGAAGGGTCACCATTTTGCCCTTAATGTTCTGGGTTGCTGCAGAGGAAAGACTATACATGTCATTGGTTTTATACAGCTCTCTGTTGCTGCTGAAGGAGTAAGACAAGCTATTAACATTGGATAGGGGACCATATAAAAGTGCTAATAGGAATCCTGCTGGTACTGAGCTCATCTTTCAGAAATCCAGGAACCATGAAAACAGGATTAAATTAATTTCCATGCCATTGCCACTATTTTCCTACATGAAAAAAATATTGTGGAAATTCTGAGAAGAAGCATAGTTCTTGGGAAACTTCCCTAAGGGGCAGCGAATGTACACAGTGTGGAATCTGGGTGGTTTTTCATTTGATGATATTGATTCTGTTACTTAGGTTAGGGGCACAAGTCAAAAAACTATAGTGAAGATTGTTGTAACTATGAAAACCTTAATCCTATGTGATTGTGATAACATAACTACACAGTGGAGTAGTTTTTTGTTCTCAGCTTTGTTGTTGTGCGACCAATGCCTTAACAATACTCATCAGTAATTAACATCCTGTTGTGTATGTAACTTATTTAGACTTGATAAATACCCATAAAGTCAATGGAAATTTTCCCATCATTGTTCAGTCAAAATTGTAGGTAAGAACTAAAAGCACAGTCTGATTTATAGCATCTAATGATCAGGGCATGAGAGGTTACCAGTAGGTTTCTGTGGTCTGATGGTGCTAACCTTCAGATCTGGATGACATCATGGGCTACAGTGATTTGAAAAATGTGTGACATATTTTATAGACAGTATCAGTAAGAGAAAGTTGTTTTCCTCCCTTGCAGCCTAAAAATGGAGCCAAAGAGCAAAGGACTGAAACAGCAACAACAACAACATAAGAAACTGCTGGCTGCCATGCTTTCTCAGGACTCCTTTGATTCCGCTCACAGCACAGCTCCATCTGTAACTGAAGAAGATATTGACAATGAAGATGATGCAATGGAACTGCTGGGTAACTGCAAAAAATTATATGTATTTTCTGATGCTTGTTTTTTTAATTAGAGGTTAAGCTTAAAAGTGTAGTGTTCAATCACTCACAGATTAGTTTGAATCTTCTTCCTGTTTTTGAAATATCCAGTAACTGTGTGATAATTCTTAAGGTTTAACTTACGACTTTCAGGAATGTCATGAAGGCCATATATATATATGTGAAGAAACTGCCAGCTGCATCAAAATTCCATGCAAGTATCAAATATTTCAGGTGTTTAAAGTAAAATTACTTTGATTTCCTACATAATGCACTTGCAGGTTCGTCTTGGAGAACATACTTAAGTACAAAGAGCAGAAGTAACTTTTACAGGCTTTTATCTTGTTCTTCTTTTACTTAGACATTTCACAGTCCTAACTTCATTGAGTTTTTGAGACTTACTAACTACATAAGGCTTGCACAATATTAATTAATAACCTCTACAGAGGATTTGATTGTAATGTTTCCAGAAGATTGTATTATATATTAAATCACACTCTAGAAACTTCTATGTGCACTGCAAATTCCTTTTCTTGGAACTGCCATTCACAAAAGGATGGAAATTTTTGTAGAAATTTAATTACTCTCTTTTCTGCCATTTTTAAAAACTTCAGCATAAGATGCTTGAAAACTACTCCTAGACTTCAATTATTTATTTACTTGGTTTTAGTTTTTGCTGTATAGAACTTTCTGAGAATCAAGGCACATGAAATAATAGAGCCTCAGGACAGCTCAACATTCTTATATTTGGGAATTCTATCACAAACCCTTTGTTCCAGATTGGATGCCAATCTAAAAATTAGAAAAATATTCGGTGCTTTACTGTGATTCTGTTATTTTTCTGTTGCTTTCTTATTGAAGTTTTCATAGAATCACAGAATAATTGATGTTGGAAGGGACTGCTGGATTTATCTAGTCCAACCTGTTGCTCAAAACAGTCGACTAGAGCAGGTTGTTCTGGACGTTGAACAGTTGGATTTTGAACCTCTACAAAGATGGAGACTAGAATGTGTCAGGGCAACAAGTTTCAGTGCTTGACTGTGATGACAAAAAAAACATATATTTTTTTCTCTTTTTTTTTTTCCTCCAGTAATTTTAAGCTTGATTTATTTGTATTTCTGAAAAAGAAGACATAATAGGCTAGATCTCTTCTGTGCCACAGTGGGCCATTCATTTACTCTTACAGGAAGTCACACTATTTGTGTCTAAGGTCTTGCTATCTCCACAGTGTCAGTTATTATTTCCAGAAATAATATGTGGATCCCAGTGAACGCCATAATTAGTCTGTAGCTGTCTCATCTCTTTTTTTCCTGAAGTTTACTAATCATTCCCATTTTATTATCATAACATAAAAAGAAAGCTGAATGACTATCTTGTGCTGTTATAAACCACAAGACTTTTCCAAAGTAAAATTAAGTAGGCATTCTGTGGCATTTAGAAGGAACAGTAGCTAAAAGAGAGAGAGTTATTAACCTCATTACATGTGACATAGAATAGAACCTTTTATTAACTTCTGTGGGGATAGTGAGGCCAAAGGTACCCAGTACAGGTTTGCTTCTCCTATGTGTAGGTTTTCCTCTAGCCACTTGAATCTCTCAAAGAATCTGTATTCAGAACGTCAGTATGAAGAAAATTATCTTTTTTTGTGGCTTGACCTTTGTGCGGAATATTATTGGTGTACAAACCACTGTGTTTTTTATTTCAGTATGTTTGCTTGTTTTGTTTCTTTTGTTTTCTTTTAAATAAGGACTCAATTGTAAGAGTTTATCCTGGTATTTTTCCTGGTTTTAAGCCATGTAAAACTTAGTACATTTTTCTACCATGCATTTCACTGAAACTGGCTGAGTTTATGCAAAATCAACTTAAATTCCTGAAAGGACACAAACAAGACCTCTGATCTGAGTAGAGGTTGTATAAGCACTTCTCAGATTCTGAAGCAAAATCATATCATATCCAATGAATAACCGTGCTTATTGTTATTATATATGACCATGTTATAGTAATTAACACTGATAGCAAGGTCAATATATACCTATTAGTTTTGAAAATTCTGTGCTTCTGAAAGGCTGTTTTTTATTTTCATACTTGTTTTCCTTTGGGCTTATAGTACATTTTATACTGGGTATAGCTTTTAGGTTATACTCTGCAGAACTGCTCAAAAATTGAGGCTATAACAAAATGTTACACAGGAAGGGCATTTTATTTTATTTTGAAGGTAACATAAAAAAAATTAAGTTTCTATCTGCAAACATAGGTATCTTTTATTGCGGTGTTTTCCAGATCAGTAACTGTATGATACTGGGACTGAATTTTCTTATGTACTGCATTAATCCATTAACTGCTTTGATGCTTTTTACAGATTCCGTATAACTACTTCCAAATCATGTCTTTCACTGAACTGCAGGGCATTGTTGCATATAGCTGCACAACTAGTCCCATTTAGAGTTCATTATTCATTGCATATACAGCCCTTTCTTAAAAAACAAACAAACAAACAAACAAAAAAACGAAACCACATGCTTCCATGTTTGGTTTCTGGGAAAACAAATTCCAGTATTGATAATAGAGGATTTTGATCTGTACCCTACTTATAATGCAGGTTTCTGCAGAGCAGAGACTTCCATCTTTATATGTATGTCTTGACTCTCTTTAAGAGAATCTTTGTCAAAGATTAGTTGACTGATTTCACAGAATCACAGAATCACAGAATTTCTAGGTTGGAAGAGACCTCAAGATCATTGAGTCCAACCTCTGACCTAACGCTAACAGTCCCCACTAAACCATATCCCTAAGCTCTACATCTAAATGTCTTTTGAAGACTTCCAGGGATGGTGACTCCACGACCTCCCTGGGCAGCCTGTTCCAATGCCTCACAACCCTTTCAGTAAAGAAGCTCTTCCTAACATCTAACCTAAAACTTCCCTGGTGCAACTTTAGCCCGTTCCCCCTCGTCCTGTCACCAGGCACGTGGGAGAACAGGCCAACCCCCACCTCACTACAGCCTCCTTTAAGGTATCTGTAAAGAGCGATAAGGTCGCCCCTGAGCCTCCTCTTCTCCAGGCTGAACAAGCCCAGCTCCTTCAGCCGCTCCTCGTAGGACTTGTTCTCCAGGCCCCTCACCAGCTTCGTCGCCCTTCTTTGGACTCGCTCAAGCACCTCGATGTCCTTCTTGTAGCGAGGGGCCCAAAACTGAACACAGTACTCGAGGTGCGGCCTCACCAGAGCCGAGTACAGGGGGACGATCACCTCCCTAGCCCAGCTGGTCACGCTGTTTCTGATACAAGCCAGGATGCCGTTGGCCTTCTTGGCCACCTGAGCACACTGCTGGCTCATATTCAGCCGACTGTCCACCATCACTCCCAGGTCCTTCTCTGCCTGGCAGCTCTCCAACCACTCATCTCCCAGCCTGTAGCTCTGCTTGGGGTTATTGCGCCCCAGGTGCAGGACCCGGCACTTGGCCTTGTTAAACTTCATGCAGTTGACCTCAGCCCATCGGTGCAGCCTATCCAGATCCTCCTGCAGAGCCTTCCTACCCTCGAGCAGATCGACACACGCACCTAACTTGGTGTCATCTGCAAACTTACTGAGGGTGCACTCAATGCCCTCGTCCAGATCATTGATGAAGATGTTGAAGAGGACCGATTTGGGCAGTAAAAGTATGAAACTGACTTTTGGTACATTTTCTTCTAAAAAACACCCAGTAATTATACCAGAATTGTTAATGAAGGTTTAGCTAGAATGGAACATTCAAAACAGCTAAGCTATTGCACTTCTAATGGGAAGAATGAATTTCAGAAGAAATATACTTCATTCTTATTTCAGTTATTACTGTTTATGTGCAATTTAGAATGCATAGGAGGGCTGATAACACACTGGTAATTTTTTAAGTGGGTTCAGCTGTGTGGGTGGTTGACACAGATTACTAGCAGATAACATCAGAGTGGAAAGGATCTTCCTGACTTAAAAAAAAAAAAAAAAAAAAAAAAAAGAACTGTAGCTATAAAATCACATGTATTTGTAAATATAAAAAAGGTAATGGGATTGAGATCTGTGACTGAAAGTTATATCGGGTCCTCATTTTATATGTATAGCCATGCCAAGTATTGTTTTGTAATATAGCAAGCTAAAGTAGTTCTTTGTGAAAGTCCACAGTCCTTTTGGAATTCCATGACATTTTGGCCTAAGCTTTTCTTTGTATTTAGCTCAAGTCCACTGAGACTTTGAAATCATGTTATTTTCTCAGTTGACACTGATGTCCATTGGAGTGGATTGTACTCAGTCACCAAATTGTGTCTTAATCGGTTTTAAAACAGTCAATTCTTTGGCTTAGCGTAAGAATATTGAGTTGTTTTTTGGACACTTGAACCTATATTTATATTCTTGAACTTTTAACAAGTAAGGAAGATGGAAAAGAAATTATGTCTTGTTTTTCAGAATATTAATATTTGGTCATAAAGCTCATTTACATTTTTTGTTGTTGTCTGATCTTTAGGTATACTCACAATGTTAAAAAATGTTAAGCTATGCTATGTATGACAGCATAGAATATAATAGGTAACTGTGAAGCACCACTCTAAAGATAAGCATAGCAAGGAAGATCATATTTGCATCATATCCATGATCTCAATGCAAACAATCACATTTCTGAGCTAAATTTAAGTGTTTGCAGTATCAGGGCTTGTAAAAATATCTAATTTCTTCTGAGCTGTTCTCATAGTAATGGTGTTTTTTTGCTCAATGTGTAAGTCTTAAGTGAAAGTTCAGTCTTTTACGTTGTCTTCATCATGTTTGTTATGTGTAATTCTTGTAATGCAGTAAGAAACCAGAATTTTTAAAGTTAGAAATGCTATTTAAGTAATAATATTTTTTTTTGTTTATGACTTTGGGAGATACCTGAAGTGTTCTGTTTGCTTTAATAACTGTTCTAATTTTTACAAGTTCTTTTTTTTACTTTCTTTCTTCAAGAGGTTCCTAAATGTCAAGTA